CCAATAACAGCAAAAGAAATTGAAGCAATAATCAAAAAAACTCCCATCACACAAAAGCCCTGGACCAGATGGGTTCACAGGAGAATTCTACAAAGCATTTAAGGAAGAGCTAACTCCCATTCTTCACAAACTATTCCAAAAAATAAGAAAGGATGGAAAACTCCCAAACTCCTTTTATGAAGCCAGCATCATCCTAATTCCAAAACCAGATAGAGATACAACAAAGAAAGAAAACTTTATGCCAATATCGCTGATGAACATAGACACTAAAATCCTCAACAAAATATTGGCAAATTGCATCCAACGATACATTAATACAATCATACACCATGACCAAGTGGGATTCATCCCAGGGATGCAAGGATGGTTCAACATTCGCAAATCAGTAAATGTAATACATCACATACACAAAAGCAAAGACAAAAACCACATGATCATAGCAATAGACGTGGAAAAAGCTTTCGATAACGTACAACACCCATTTATGATAAAAGCACTCAGCAAAGTGGGAATAGAGGGAACATTCCTCAATATAATAAGGGCCATTTATGAGAGACCTACAGCCAATATCATACTCAATGGGAAAAAACTAAAAGCTTTTCCACTAAGATCAGGAACAAGACAAGGATGTCCACTTTCACCACTTCTATTCAATATAGTATTAGAAATTTTGGCCACAGCGATCAGGTAGGAAAAGGAAATAAAAGGCATCCAAATAGGAAAGGAGGAAACAAAACTGTCACTGTTGCAGATGACATGATAGTGTACATGGAAAATCCTATAGACTCTACCCAAACACTGCTCAAACTAATTAATGAATTTGGCAAAACAGCAGGATACAAAGTCAACATCCAGAAATCAAAGGCATTTTTGTATAAAAACAATGAATCAGCAGAAGCAGAAATCAAGGAAAAAATCCCATTCGATATAGCAAAAAGAAAAATAAAATATCTGGGAATAAGCCTAACTAAGGAGGAAAAAAATCCTGTATGTAGAAAACTACACAGCCCTGAAGAATGAAATCAAGGAAGACAGAAACAAATGGAAATATATACCTTGTTCATGGGTTGGAAGAATTAACATCATCAAAATGTCCATACTACCCAAAGCAATATACAGATTCAATGCAATACCTATTAAAGTACCAATGGCGTATTTCACAGACATAGAACAAACACTTCAAAAATTTATATGGAATCATAAACGAGCCCGAATAGCAGCTGCTCTTTTGAGAAAGAAGAACAAAGTAGGAGGGATCACAATACCTGATATCAAACTGTATTACAAAGCCACTGTAATCAAAACAGCCTGGTAGTGGCATAAAAAAAAGGCACATAGACCAATGGAACAGAACAGAGAGCCCAGAAATCAACCCAACCCTCTACAGTCAATTAATATTCGACAAAGGGGGCAGTAACATAAAATGGAGTAAAGATAGCCTCTTCAGCAAATGGTGTTGGGAGTACTGGACAGCTACGTGCAAAAAAAAATGAAACTTGAGCACCAACTCACACCATACACCAAAATAAATTCAAGGTGGATAAAAGACTTAAATATAAGCCGTGACACCATTAAAGTCCTTGAGGAGAACATTGGCAAGAAAATCTCAGATATTCCATGCAGCAACATTTTTACGGATATGTCCCCTAGAGCAAGAAATATAAAGGAAAGAATAAACAAATGGGATCTCATCAAAATAAAAAGCTTCTGCATGGCTAAAGAAAACAGTATTAAATTAGCAAGACAACCAACTGTATGGGAAAACATATTTGCCAATGATACCTCAGACAAAGGTTTAATCTCCAAAATATATATAGAATTTACAAGACTCCACTCTAAGAAGACACCCAACCCAATTAAAAAATGGGAAAAGACTTGAACAGACACTTCTCTAAAGAGGACATACAGAATATCCAGAGACACATGAAGAGATGCTCAATATCGTTATCTATCAGAGAGATGCAAATTAAAACCACAATGAGATACCACTTTACACCAGTCAGGATGGCTATCATAAACAAAGCAACAAACAACAAATGTTGGAGAGGGTGTGGGGAAAAGGGGTCCTTAGTCCACTGTTGGTGGGATTGCAGACTGGTACAACCATTATGGAAAACAGTATGGAATTTTCTCAGAAAAGTAAAAATCGACCTGCCTTTTGACCCAGCAATTCCACTGCTAGGATTATACCCCAGGAATCCTAAAACATCAATTTCAAAGAACCTATGCACCACAATGTTCATAGCAGCACAATTTACAATAGCCAAGAGTTGGAAGCAACCTAGCTGCCCATCAGTAAACAAATGGATCAAAAAATTGTGGTACATATACGCAATGGAATTCTATGCAGCATAGAGAAAGAAGGAGCTACTACATTTTGCAACAACATGGATGGAACTGGAAAGCATTATGCTGAGTGAAATAGGCCAGGTATTGAAGGACAAATACCATATGATCTCACCTTTGACAGGAAGCTAAAGAATAAAACAAACAAGCAAACAGAATAAAAACAAAGACACTGAAATAGAGAACAAGTGGGCAGCGACCAGAGGGGAGAGTGAAGGGAACTTAAGGGGAAAAGGGGGGAGAGATTTTGAGGAACAAGTATGAAAGACACAGAGATGAGGACTGGGGGGGGGCGTGAATGGGAGGTAGGGGGGAGACCGGGCGGGGGGGTTGGGTGGGATAGGAGAAATAGATTAAAAAAATGTACTTGAAAAGTAACTAAATAAAATTTAATATAAAAAAATAAAAATAAATGCTTTGTAGAATTCTCCTGTGGGGGAAAAAAAGATGCAAAATCATCAGAATCTTTAGGGCAGAGGAGACACCTCATCTTTGAACAACAAAAAAAAACTTAGATAAAATGAAGTTTAATCATAGCCATGGTTTTGGTGTCCAGACTTAGCATAGTACAGAGCTCTGTATTGGGCAGCCACTGAGTAGGTTGTTCTGTGATTTGGCAAGATTTCAATTTCTCAGAGCCTAGCTTTGTCCTGTGCAAAACAGAAAAACAATAAAAATAGGAAGAACACCTGTTTCGAGAGTTATTAGAATCCACTGAGCTCAGGTATATAAAACTCTTTGTGAATGAAAACTACCACCCCCCAAAATTCTAAGCAAATATCCATCAACCAAGTTGGTGTACAGGTGTGAGGACACCCACTGGTAGTATCTGAGTTGAGTGCTGTACGCGTCTGTCCTTTCAGTTCTGCTCCTCTCTCTCAGAGTTCTCTTTGTATATGGCCCAACTAGGATTGCCGCTGTAGGTTTATCCCTTCTTAGACCTTCTTGGCACATTATGCAGAAGACCCTCAAAGTGCAGCCCAGTCTTATCAACTTAGCTCTTGACATTTCAGGTTGCTTGCTTCCAGAGACCTTGGAGTTCTGGAGACCTTGGAGTTGACACAGTTACTTGCCTGTGGAAAGGAACAGCTATGAAGATATTCAGACTCTGCCTGGCAACACTGCACAGCCTTCATTCAAAGAAGAGTTGGCATATGTGCATCACACAAGCATATGGGTGCACCTCAGTCCACCCATAAATATTACCCATGAATTATGCATTCCTGAAAACTGTTTAGCTCCCTACTCTGACAGATATAGAAACAGTAATTTTCATTTCCCTCTATTGTTGGGGAGACCATATTCATGATGCTGCAGAGTAACAAGAAGATAAATTTCACAGATACAGCCCTGGGGAAGATATGCTGTGTGATCCCAAACTCACCTGTGCTTGTGACTCACCTGAGAAGAGACAGTGCCCAGCCAGCAGCAAGGAACTGTGAAGTGACACCTCAGAGCCTCTGACATGCAGATCTGGGGTAGACAGATGCTATGTAGACAGTGTGTCACCCACTTCTATCATTAAGCCCTCTACAAAAGGTCCTTGTTTGTGATTTGAGTGAGCCCATCAGAATTTGTATGTTTTCTCCAAGTTAACTAGACAAAATGGGTTCTAAGAGGAAACTTCTGTCATTTCACTGAAGCACTACCACTGTCTGTACACTGATTAGAGGCTCTGGTTGGCATTTTATATGCATTTTCATTAAAAATAGAAAAGGACATTGTCACTACCTGTGGGCTTCATCTGTGTCTATCTGCATAGGAACATCAGGGGAGGCATGAGGGTGCATTGCTGTGGTGGTGCTAGTGTCAATGGCACCCACATAGGTGTTAGCTCACTCGGGGCACCCACCTGAGTGTTGGTCTGGTACTTCAGGTGACCACCTGCCTCTGAAGCCACCTGACGAAGTGGCCAGCATGCACTGCAATGTGGTCCTGAATATCTCCAGCCTGTAACAGGATGGAACATGTTTAAAAATTTCCTGCAACTGACAAAAGCTGGAGTTAAATGTGAGTCCATTTCTGGATAAAATAAGTTCATAGAATGGCCTTAGTTTGGGATGAGTCATCATGCATATGCCATGTACTGGTGAGAGAAGATTTGTAGTGGGGGCCCAGCAAGTGGGATAACTAATGAGAATAAAATCATTCTCTATCTGTACATGTAGGGGTGGAAGCACATTCACATGACAGTGCTTTAGCATCCTAGAGCTCTGGTGTGCCTTCTGTGAGATAGTTTGGTCATTGTAATCATTGGAACTGCTTTTTAAAAATCACTCTGCCTCAGAATAGAGTGGAATCCACAAGAGTGTGTGCCTTCTGAGATTACCCAGTTCTATCTTCTGCAGAGCAGACCTTTACCCCCACCATCCAGGCCTCCATCTCAAAAATTTGTGAAGTAATTGTCTTCTGTACGACTTTATTTCTGTGAAATGACCCAATAGACTTGTACCCAGGATTTTTCTCTTCCTGTTCTTGCCAGGGGTTCCCTCAGCTGGGGGCTTCCTTTTGAGGAGAGGTACTTGCAGGCATAATAACAACAACCTTCCTGGAGGCTTCTACTTATGCCAGGCTCCGCCTCCAAATTCAGAGGTCATCATAGATTGATTCCTTTATTAATACTTCTGTTCCATCCCCATCTGTTCTTTTTGCAGAGCAACTACTCCAGTGATACAGAGAGTGAGGACAACTTTCTCATGATGCCCCCACAGGACCACTTGGGCCTCAGCGTCTTCTCCATGCTCTGCTGCTTCTGGCCTTTGGGCATTGCAGCCTTCTACCTGTCCCATGAGGCAAGTCCACACACACACAGAGCATACCAGGCTAATAGGGAGGAAAGAGCCCAAGAAGATGTTCAACTCATGTCAGCAGAGGGGTTTTTACTTTATGGTTAAAGTAAGGCCCAGGGTAGTTAGTGTACCACAGGTAGGTCAAGGCCATCTCACCTCAGTGTCATCATAGGATTTCCCTGTGGCTGCTGAGGCAAGGTGGGAAGTCCTCAGAAAAAAAAAAAAAGGCTGAGTGACGGAAACAGGTGTTCACTGGGGAAAAGCAGGTAAGTTGAGGATTTTGGCCTTCAAACAGGCACTTGGGCAGAAACAGTGGTATTGACCCATAGAGACTAGAAAGCTCTGTGCCCAGGGTGGAAATATCTAACTTACTAAGAGTGGAATAAAGGGGGTTTCATTTTCTTTGTAAAATATTCATTCATATCAAATAGATTCTAGTTGCACAGCAGCCTAAATTAACATTCTCCTAGATTAAATGGTTTGTCATGATGGTGATCATGCCCTCCTTTGTACAGTGTGAGGACGTCTAAAGGTATAGTTTCCAAACCTTTTTTTCACTGAAAATCATCATCCTCATTACGCCTTCATGGAACCTAGGTTAAAATATTTTTTCTAACAAAAGAAGAGTATTCTTTCAAAAATAACCTATATTCTCATTTTTAGTAATCAACAAAAGACATTTATACTTGCTATTTAAAGCATGAGGTTTTGGCAACATCATCCCAGCCCAACAGATAGATAGACTGCTTCATGGGTTGGCCAGGGAAAGCAAGACACTGCACTCATGGCTCTTTGAACTTCCTTCAGCACTAGAACTTCCTCTCCAGCTTCGAGGGCTCTGGGAATGAGGATACAAAAAACTTACTCTAGCACGTCTTTTGTTTGAAACATTAAAATCTCTTGATTTGAAAACAGATTCCTTGGCCAAGCTCAGCAGTGACCTGTCACTGCTTCTTGCTGGTTTCAGTATTGATTCAGTTCTTTTTTACTGGTAACAAGAGTCCTAGTATGCCCTTTTCTCTTTCACCTGCCTCCCCTTTCCTGACACCATGCAGGGGAGAGCAGTGGACATACTCGTGGTGATATACCTGAGGCCAGGTGCTTCTTGGCATGGACACTCCAGAGGCCCTTCAAGGCAAGGGTTAAAGAGCCAAAAGATAAGGTAGAGCCCTTCTCAGCACTGCTCTGTGGTCCTGGCTCTGGAAGATAATGAATGTGGGGAGGGGTGATGGATAAGTCCTGCACTGCTCAGGTTGGGCTGAACAGTTGTTCCATGCCCATTGAATGACTGGAGGCTCTACTTGAATGTCTTGTGTAAGTTTGTCCTATAAATGCCAAAGACCCCCTTATTTAGAGGCACAAGCATGGATGGGAAAGAAAGACTCCCTGGTTTGATAGGGGTCTGGGTAGCTGTGGGTGGAGCAAGATCTGGGGGTGTCTTGGCCCCATGGAGAGATTGTGGCTACTGTGAATGCTGGGGTCTGGCATACAGAGTGGGACCTGGAGAAAGGCTTATGGACAGACATGCTTCATATGAAGAACAGGCTCACCCACCTTTGTGTACACTACACCCAAAACTTGAGTGAAGATGCTACATGTTGACAAGAGTAGTTTCACTATGAAAGGGAAGGTCAGGATGGAGACAAGAGAAATAGCTTCTCACAAATTGTGGGCAGTCCTGGCTTTTCCCAGGAGCTGAACATGGGAGGTCAACCCTCTCTCCTTCATTCCAGTCCTGCCACATGATGAGGTAAAAGAGGGCAGATAACTCCCAGCCTCCTGGATCTGATTCTACTGAGGAAAGTCATTATCTGATCTCCAGCAGGAAGGCATCATTGACATCAGAACTTTGATTGTCAGTTTTCTTAGTGTGATTGATTATTTTTATATCAGATTCCACTAAGACACTTGTTACCCGTTCCAGGAGATGAAAGTAAATATTGTATAAATGCATCAGTGAGTGAGCCCTGGATAACTGGGGAAGGCACAGGGAAAGTTTGCTTATGAGGCCAGAGAGAAGGCTGTCCCTTTTATTGACAGTTTCACATGTCCCAGGGTGAAGCCCCTATCTCCAGAGAAAATTGTGCATAGCTTATTTTTCTAAATGATTGTAGTTATAATAAAATTCAAGGCCACAATTCCAGAAGCTAGCATTAAAAGTCTGATTCTCAAAAAGTAATTTTATTCATCTCATGAAAAGAACCTCTTAGACTTGGGCCTGGCAAGTCATGCCATTTCATACCTTTGGTGATAAAGAGGATTGTGATTATTTGTTCAAGAGTAAATGTGAAATGCAGTTTCTGTGGAGGCTTCTGGTCATATTTCTCAGAGGTGAAGGCTGGAGTATAGAGTGTGATTTCACTCTCGGAATAGGAATAGGGGCCCCAGGGGCCCTGTCTCTCAAAGCTTTCTTTTATTGTACTGCAAGGATGGATTTCCCTTTAGCACAGAATAAATCTCTGGAGGTGAGTGCACTTCACAGGGTCTATATCAAAATCTTTGCACATGAGGACTTCCAAGCTGAGACCAGGCCCATGCATCTCTCTCTTTGCTGCTGTCCACAGCTGTGTATTTCTTGGCTCTGCTGCAGAACAGAAGGCAACCACCCATGGCACACAGGCTTCAGCACTGTCACAAGGCTGTGAGGCATGCTGTTTGTGCCTCTACAGCCTGACTGCTGACATAACATATTCAGCAAGAATGTGAGAGTAACAGACAACTGCCAAAGAGCAAGTGTACAAGTGCAATAGGAACAGACACTCTGAGAGTCAGTACACTAAATTAAATCAGTGCTTTTCTGGGCAAGGCCATCTGGGAGTTCTATCCCAGCCATTGACAAGAGGAAAGACCACAGCCAGCTCTATTCTATCATTCTTTGCAGTTGCTGCCAATACTTCTTGTTTCCCAGAGTTTCTGGAGTCTGGAGTGGTGATGTCAGAATAGAGAAAACAGCATATCGATGAATCCAAGACTCCCCAAGTTCCATATGCTGTTTACAAGGAAATCTGACATCAGTATAAAATTGTTTTTTTTTTTTTATCACAGATCATATTCCACTGTAGTCACTGACAATTAGACTGTGTCTGCACTTTGTCAAAATAACCATTTAGTGAGGTGTAAGGACATTTTAGGAAAGCAAAACAAATTATATCAGTGGTTGTGTGATATGGGTCAGTGTGACACAAATTAATAGATTTTATGGACTTACAAAGCCCAAGATATTGAGACTTCTGACCAAGATGGAGGCATATGTTGATATACTTAGCCTCCTCACACAACGAAAAGAAGGACAACATGAATTTAAAAACAAAAAATTAACAGAACTGCCAGAAAAACAAACTTTATCAAAGTCCAACAAACAAGGAGTTAAAGAAGAAACATTCATACAGACCGGTAGAAGGGGCGGAGACAGGCTGGCAAGGCAGAGAAGACAAGGGGCAACTGGTGGATGTGGCAGTCCCACATTTGTGTGTGGATAAACCAGGAGGAACAAATAGAGAGCAAAAAAAGCTACACAATCCAGGGTTCAAGCACAAGGAAATAAAGCCTCAAAACCTCTGGCTGTAAAAACTTGGAGTGGCAGCAGCAACTGCCAGCCTCACAGGAGAGTCTGTTGGAGAGACCCACAGAGTCCTAGAATGTACAGTACCAAAACTGTACATTGGGAATCAGTACCAGAAGGCTGAAGTTTTTATGAGGGTAGGAGGGGAAGTGACTGAAAGCCAGCCGAGAGCCAAGCAAATGGCATTGTTCTCTTTCAGACCTCTTCCCCATATACAGAGCCACAAGCAGAGAACTGTGTTGCCTTGCCTGACAAACACCTAAGGCTGCACCCCCTATAATGTAACAGGCTCACCAAGACAAAAAAATATATATGGCCCAGATGAAAAAACTGACCAAAACTCCAAAAATAGAACTAAGCAATGAAGACATAGCCAACCTGTCAGATGCAGAATTCAAAACCCTAGTAATCAGGATGCTCACAGAATTGGTTGAATATGGTCACAAAATAGAGGAAAAAGTGAAGGTTATGCAAAGTGAAATAAAGAAAAATATACAAGGAACCAACAGTGAAGGGAAGAAAAATGGGACTCAAATCAATTATTTGGAGCAGAAAGGAAGAAATAAACATTCAATCAGAACAGAATGAAGAAACAAGAATTAAAAAAAAAATTAGGAGAGGCTTAGGAACATACAGGACAACTTTAAATGTCCCAACATCCAAATCATAGAGGTGCCACAAGGAGAAGAAGAAAATTAAGAAATTGAAAATTTATTTGAAAAAATAATGAAGGAGAACTTCCCCAGTCTGGCAAAAGAAATAAACATCCTGGAAGTCCAGGAAGCTCAGAGCCCCAAAGAATTTGGACCCAAGGAAGCACACACCAAGGCACATTATAATTACATTACCTAACATTAAAGATAAGGAGAAAATCTTAAAAGCAGCAAGAGAAAAGGACACAGTTACCTACAAAGGAGTTCCCATAAGACTATCAGTTCATTTCTCAAAGAAACTTTACAGTCAAGAAGGAGATGGAAAGAAGTATTCAAAGTCATGAAAGGCAAGGACCTACATCCAAGATTACTCTATCCAGCAAAGCTATCATTTAGAATGGAGGGGAAGATAAAGTGCTTCCCAGACAAGGTCAAGTTAAAGAAGTTCATCATCACCAAGCCCTTATTATTTTATGAAATGTTAAAGGGACTTATCTAAAAGAAAAGAAGATAAAAACAATGTATAGTAAAATGACAGCAAACTGACAACTATCAACAGCTGAACCTTAAAAAAACTAAATATCTAGAACAAGAACAGAATCACAGAAATGGAGATCACGTGGAGGTTTATCACTGGAAAGTGGGGAGGGGGAGAATGGAGGGAAAGGTACTAGGAATAAGAAGCATAACTGGTATGTACAAAATAGACAGGGGAGGTTAAGAATACTACAGAAAATGGAGAAGCTAAAGAACTTATATGTAGGATCCATGGACTTGAACTAAGAAGA